TGTACCAAGAAACCTTCCACCTCTTGGTGCAACATTTTACAAAAAGTCTTACATGAAGCCAAGGATTTCGATAGGGTCAGGTCACCTGTAATTGTCACAAGCCGACCTCCATCCCAGAACTGCATGCGTAGCTCCTTCCAATTAACGATCATGTCTCCTAGAGTTCGCAGCCAGTGTATACCCAATATGATATCAAATCCCCCAACATCGAATGGAAGGAAATCTTCCACCACCTGCACTTCTGGTAGGTTGAGAACTACACCCTTACATGTTCCTTGACTTCTAACCATCAGCCTGTTGCCTAGCTTGACCCCCACTGTTCCCTTTCCTACAACCGCCACCCCCAAGAGGCGTATGATCCGTGTTGACAGGAAATTGTGCGTAGCCCCACTATCGATTAAAACAATCACCTCTAGTCCTCCGACATCACCTTTTACTTTCATCGTCCTAGGAGGTGTCAACCCACTGATCGTATTGAGTGAAACCTCTGCCATATCAAAGTGGGCATGCTCCAAGTTAGATCTCTCGTCAACTTCCTCGTCCACAATAAGGGCCTGCAACACCTTGCTAGGGCACTTGTGCCCTGGAGCAAACTTGCCATCACACCTGAAACACAAACCCTGTGCTCGTTTCTACGCCAGCTCCGCTTGAGTAAGACGTTTAAATGCACCTAGTCCACTAACTCCCTGCTTAACCGAAGCTGCTGGGGCGGCGGCGTTGTTTTTTTCTATGACATTTGTTCCATGCTTTGGAGTTCCAGAACCAACCCTGTTGCGGCTCAATCCCCTGGTCTGATTTTCGTCTATCTTGATAGCCATACGGATAGCCTGAGTCAACGATTCTGGTTCGGCTATTCGTACTACTGCTCTTACATCTTCCTTCAGTCCCTTAATGAATGTACTCTCCTGAATTGACTCTGGTACCTGCTCAAGTTGCCCCGCGAAACCTTCAAACCGGTCCACATATTCTCGGACTGATCCCGTCTGTTGAATATCTAAGAACTGCTCTTGGACGCTACCTTCGTCAGACGCTTGAAAACGATCCAACAATTTGCATTTGAATCTTTCCCATGAGCGAAATGGTCGTTTGGCATCATTCCACCTGAACCAGGTTAACGGAGCTCCTTCCAAACAAATAGCCACTGCACGTAACTGATCCTTTTTACTAAGCTTCTGAATTTTGAAGTATCTTTCTGCCTTGTAAATCCACCCATGAACATCCTCCCCGCTGAAAACCGGAACCTTCAATTTCCGGCAATCGAGTACCGGGTCCCGCCTCCCATGCCTCTTTTTGGAACGCTTGGAAACGTTAGACCGTATACTCGCATCAGAATCACCAGAACCTTCTTCCTCGCCCCCTCGTCGTCCCCTGAACTGGAAGACGAACTATAGTTAGTCTATCTTCCCTTCTTTCGTGGTTTCTTGATCGCCAGAGTTAGATCCGAAATCGCCTTGGTGAGTTCTTGCATTTGTACTGCCACCTCTACCCGATGTGCTTCAGTCGAATCAAGCACCTGGTTGACGGTCTTTTCTAGTGCCGCCATTCGTTCGGCATTAGTGTCTTTCCCTTCAAGCTTTTCCATCATCAGGACCTGTGAGGGCGGGCTCTGATACCAAATAATAGGAACTTGGGTCAATGCCCTAGTTCCCTACCTGCAATTCGAGCTACAGGAAGACTCCAAGAAAAAAAACCTCACGGTATTTTTATTAATGCATAAAAAACCTAAACAAACTCTGGAGCACCTTAAATAGTGTCCAGCTAAATAACAGCAACAAAAACTAAACAAATAACTATTATCACCTACTTATCCTACCAAAAACTATTTAAATATATCCTAAACTACCCCTTATCATTATCCAAACCAATTCCCTACCTAATCCTCCTGCGATAAACCTTACCAAACCGCTGGGTCATAACAACTTATCAATTTACATTTGTGTAAATTATTGTTATTGTTATATTCTTGAATGCTACCTTATACACTTATCAATTTACATTTGTGTAAATTATTGTTATTGTTATATTCTTGAATGCTACCTTATACAGTATAACAATCATATTTTTTCTTGAAATCAATCCTTATGTTGTAAACTCGGTAGATCATTGTTTTTAATTTTGTATCAAATTTTTGTTATTCAGGTTTATATTTGTTTCTGTGATATATCTTAAGTGTAATTGAAAGGCTTCTTAGGTATGCAATTCTCTTAAACATTAAAGCATGTTAATGTATCTTTGTATTTCAATATTATCATGATGATGACTACATTTTATGTTTTATTATTTAGAACATTTATTATTATGAATATGTTTTAAGATATGCATATAAAGTATATTTGTTATTCAATGTTACTTGAGATGAAGTATTCATTACACATAAGCAGCATCTAGAGCATAATAATATAGTTTAAACCTCTACGAAAATTTTCGTCTACATTTCACTACAATTACTATGAAATTGAAACATGTAAATTAGTAAGTTTTTTAAATTTCAAAGTACGAAATTCACCAACAAGGTAATCAGTTGATCTAATAGAATAAGAAAGTAAGCAAACATATATGTATTCATATTATATATAATAAAATTGAAATTATGAATATATACAAAACTTAACATATTATATATAATACAATTCTATTATTATGTTTTTATATTATATTATAATTTCATATATTTTTTGTATTTAACTTGCAAATGTGATAGACGAGGGTAGGACTGTGAATATTGAAGTATTGCAATCTCTTCGTTTCCAATATACCGGAGTTTCGTATACGATGTCATTTGTTCGAGTTCACTTTATTTGGCATGAAATCGAAGGAATTAGAAAACTGGTTTTATTCGTTGACAAAAATGTTAGTAAACATGTTTCTTATTACTTTTTTTAATAACTTTGTACTAAATGTAAATTTTTTAGAGAGAAAAAATTACAGGTTTTGTCCCCCAAGATTTGTTTCATTTGTATGATGATGACTTGATATGAGGTGTTTTTCACTATTGTCTTTTAAAGTAGAAACGTTTCACTTCCATGAATACCCGAAATATGAAAACTATTGTTTCTTTTATGGTGCTTTGAAGACCAGTATCAATGAAAAGACACAGCTTACTCCGGTAGCGGTGGATCTACATAAATGATTGCCTTTCTATCCATTAGTGTTTCCTATAAAAACGACTTTTACATTGCAGTTATGTTTGAAAAGTTTTAATCGGTACATATAAAAGCATACAATTATTATTTCATTATTTATTCACTTACATTTACGCATATATTATATATAATTATATATATATATATATATATATATAATATATAATATAATATATAATAGAAAGAGAGAGAGAGAGAGAGAGAGGAAGGATCATTTGAGAACTTATAGTTTCCCGAGAACCCGAGAACTAAAAGTGGAACGTTATATCATAATTTTTAATGGTTTAGATCAAATATGGCACATTTTGTGACGCCCCGATTCTCAGGTATTAACTAAATAAAGATCTGTTTGGTTTTAAGACCTACTCGACGAGTTGGTTGCCCTACTCGTCGAGTAGTCGCGGGTTGGATCGCGCATTTAGTGACCTAATCGCCGAGTCCAAGGGGGGACTCGACGAGTAGGAGCTGGCAGAGGAAACCCTAAATTCGGGGTTATGCACCCTATTTAAGGATCATGTGTCCCCCCTCAGCCTCTTTTACTACTCCCCTCTAATCCAGAAACCCTAATTCATGATATTCTCTACTTTGGTGTGTCCTTTAGCTTGGAAGAAGGAGTTGAGTGAGGAAAAGTTGAGGGTCAAGGAGCTTTGAGCAAGGAATCAGTCGAGGATCTGAAGTTTACCTCAGTTTATCATCTTTTGGAGGTATCTATTCATCACCTTGAACTTCTTCTAGTAAAACCCCTTTTCTATATTTGAGTTTGGAATCATTTTGGGGCTTTGCTGTTGCATTTCGAGTAATGAGCCGAGATCTGAAGTTGTAACTTTAGATCTGGGCTCATCTTGGCTATCATTATTGCAAAAACCCAGCTTTTAGCATGTTGTTGGAGTCCTTTTGCCTAGAACCTTCTCTTTAGCTCATTATGGGCCATTACCACATTGCATGCACGTAAAGTTTGCAACTTTACGTGATATACATGCCCTAGGAACTTGGATCTGTGGTTTGGAGGTGTTGCATGGCCTAATAAGCTTCTATATGGATGAAGACCTGAAAGTACTTGGCGAGTCGCAAGGTTGACTCGACGAGTCATATGAAGATAGGCCCGGACCCGACGAGTTGGATAAACAACTCGGCGAATCCGATGGAGATTGCCGTAGAACTCGACGAGTGTATGAACAACTCGGCGAGTGGGATGAGGTTTCCCCGATTGTTGTATGCGTGTGTAACCGTCGAGTTGCAAGCAGGAAACTCGACGAGTGTTCTTAGAGTTTGAATCGTAAACCGTAAGAACTCGACGAGTCACCCCGGTGACTCAGCGAGTGGGCTAGCACTTCAAGGAACTCGGCGAGTAGCCGAGGGTGCTCGGCGAGTTAGGGTCAACATGGACTGTTGACCTTGACTGATGACATGGACTTTGACCAGGGGTTGATTAGTTGGTTTATTGGGGTACTTTGGGAAGGTTGAGGACTTATGGGTATTTTCGTATTATGGTAATAGGTGGTGGAGTTCTTGGCAATGATCCGAGAGTTGGAGTTTATCTACCGAGTCGACATTTGCAAGTGAGTCATCCTCACTATACCAATAGGGTCTAAGGCACCAAGGCCGGCCCTTTAGTTGCTATTGTTATGGTATGCTACTTGTGGTTATGATCTGTTAGATCGGAATTAGGATATACAGTATGTTATGCTCTTATGATCCGTATGGATTGGTATGTTAGTGACCTACTAGGTCAGTGCTCTAGTTATGAGAGATTGCTATGATTGATGATTAGTGAGATAGTTATGCTTGATACTTGTATATGTCAGTATATGTTAGTTATGCGCACATGGTTACGTGTTGATGGTTGGCTTGAGGCGGTCCTACTTTGTGCTGAAGGCCAACATACCCTACGAGCGGCCTGGGAGACTGTAGGCCCTGAAAGGCGGTCCAGTCATACCGAAGGCTCGGGATAGATTCAGTTAGACTGTAGGCCCGGTAGGGCAGTCCAGTCAGGCCGATGGCCCAGTATGCATGTTGTTGATTATTTGTTACGGATATGGTTTTATCGGTGTGGTATTGGTATTTGGGGGGTAGCTCACTAAGCCCTCGGGCTTACAGTTTTCAGTTGATTGTTTCAGGTACTTCAGGAGATCATGGCAAGGCGAAGGCGTGACCGTACCGCTCCTCATCCTTATGATCTGGTTATTGGGACACTCTGATGAATAATGATTTGAAAACATTTTGTAAAACAATTTACTATCTGGTTTTATTTATTATTGAATAGTTTAAATTCGGCGTAAAATTTTTGGATGTTACAAGTTGGTATCAGAGCCTTGGTTTGAGTGAATTGGAGGAACATTCGTGTGAATCCA